CGAAAAAACGTTGAAAAACTGTCCGAAACAGGCAGTTATAGATTAACGTGATGATCGACTGTTCGGCTCGAACCCATCTCCATGGTAGTGAGTTTGGGTTTCAGCACCGCTACAGGCGCAGTAATGCTGTTTTTAGCATTATCTTTCCTCAAAAGGGCAAATAGTCTGAGAAATACGATATACGATTAAAGAGGCGGAGATAAGTGACAAATGCATATCGCATTTCCGTGACATCTGCGCTAACGAGGAACAGGGTCCAACTAATAAGCGTTTATCACAACAGACAGAAACAGGGCAGTTAAGGTTTAACACATATGCAGTCAGCATAAGTCAAGCTTCAAGCTTAAGAAACCAAACGACCAAAAATATAATAAAATAAAAAATTTATTGCTATATCTAAGAAAGACTAAAATCTAAAACAAAATCTTTCGTCTAAAACTATGCAATTTAAGCGACTGTTCAAGAACGAGTACAACGGATGACGTGTTTGTTCGCATTTCGTCGTTCGACCTGTGCCATAACGCGTACGCGACCAATCGCAATAACTCAGACGACGAAGTTTGACGAAAGGGCATTGGCGAACTGGCCGATGGCACCCGACCTCAGCGTGCACCACATCGCCTGTGTGAGGCGATCAGACTTGAGCAGTCGAGCTGGATGAGATCCGTATTCATCGACAGGCACCATTCTGTTACGTTGAGCAAAGTAATCGACCCAGTAAGGAAGCAGGGTGCCGGTTGTGTCATTAAAATTCAGCTGCTGCACCGGGAACACCGGACGACCGGCGGCGTACTCGTACGCCTTGCGTACCAGCTGGCAACAGTAGAACGCTTTGGTGCCGCGCGAGTCGACGCACCTCTCCGAGAAGACATCATTATATGAGGCGCCCAGCTGGTTGAGGCAGTAGTCAGCGGCTATGTCCTTGACATGGTCTGGGAAGTTGGTGACGGCCATGGCGACAACCTCATACAACGGTCGATCCTTTAGTAGTCGTTTAGAGTAGACGGACACCTCCTCCTGAACGACGCCGGATATCGACGTCGCGTGAACCATGTACTTCGGGCTTAACAACAGCGACACATGGAAGATCTGCAGACCGTTGCCACTGCTGGCTGTCACGGCGTCAGTGAACGACACGTTCCTGGCATCGGTCGCGTTGTTCACCGGCATGCCCCAGAACAGTAGATCCCCTTTGCGCAATGATATGCCTTTCGTCACTAGACAATAAGAAACACCACACGATCATTAATGTCCGGTACAGCAAAACGGCATTCATAGAAACAAACGCTTATGCCTGGTGATTTGCACATATTATTGCTGATGCATTTATTTTAACGGTTATTAAACAAGATACGAGTGTCAAAATGATAACTTCAAAACTAAAATGAGGTACAAATGCGACCGTCCAGAGTAGTAATCCAGCCATACAGGCATTGACTGAAATTCTGTAATTTGCTTTACAGCCCAAACTGATAATTAATGGCTTTTACTGCGTTACTCCCTAAGCGTCAGCGTACATTGAAGCCATGACATAAACTTGTAACATGCAAGCTGTAATGCAGAGACTTGATATACCAAAAAACTAGCAAAACCGCGGTATTACCGGCATGGACTGATAAACCGTTTCAATCAGTACCGGTGCAGATGGATTATCACTCTGAGTGCTAACATATAAACATTATTCTCCGCATCATTTTTTTTGAAAAATTTTGGAATAATTACAGATGCATAAAGTCAAAGCAGATAAACTAAAAAATTCATACTAAATCAGACTGACAGTAAGCTAAAAAACAAACTTTCTAAAAAATGCTTTCATAGATGCTTCCAATGGGTATTGGCGCGAAAAAGATCATGAATGATGGTGACAGCGTGACTTTCATCTAAAATGTCGGCCATTTTCTAATAAAGTCTTTCGACTTTGAAACTTCATGGAAACTATGAACACTGAATCGGATTCGGTTAAAACTCTTCTACTTTGCAGAAGGCCTTCCAAATGAATTCACCCTAGTCAATCAATTAGTGGTAGAGTTTTGTCACTTACTTCAAGACTTTTAGAAGAATCACATTCAAATTAGAAATCGAAAGTGAACGACTGCAATCACGGACAGAATAAAAAATTGGATAAAAAAGGTAAGTCCCTTCTGCTGCGCCGTCTGCACTCAGAAATGAGGAATAAGGGCACTGAAACTTCTCTTTGCAGAGGAACCGCCAACGAAACATAGATACGCTGGCTGACAATACGAAACATGGCAACAATTCTTAGAAGCAGGTCTGTCTGCTAGAAGGAATATGACCTCTGCGTAACGATCGGAACATCCAATAGACTGAGACGAAGATGACCCGGACGATACCTTACGAATGGGATCCGGAAATGAATACTCATAGCATCATGCGCCACTGAAAAAGGACACATCATGCATCAGGTTATCAACCTTCTGACCTGAGGATGACAATTATTATTATTGTTATTATTATCATTACGTCGTTGTCCATTCGTAGCAACTGAATTCGTTTAACACTGCTTTTTATAACTGTCAGCATAGCGTTGAGCAA